TTTTTAACAAATCAGTGTCAGACTGAAGCTTTTACAGAAACATGCTTCTTGATTTACGCTTTGAATTACTGACGAAATTTAAAATAAATTAGCACAAACAGAACTTCATCTGTGCTGATATGCAGGAATTGATGGAATTTGCCGTATGATCGAACAGTTCTTAGAAAATGGAAAAGAGCTATTACATTATTTTCTATGGATTCAACGGGATCATCATAACATCGAGTTGAAGTGCAGTCCGCAGCAAAATGTATCACAGTATCAATCTGAAATAACACTAGAAAGTTAATGAATATATCAAATCTTTTCTAATATTTGCAGCAGAAATTTTTTAAGATTCTTGCTCTCTTTTGAAATCAACTAATTTCATATTAAAGATAATGAGGGATGGAAAAACAACCTTAATGAGATTATATGAATTAGCGAAAGAAATTCGGGATTATTGGTGGAATAGGAATAAATCTAGCTTGCCTTGAAACGGCGTAAAATCCAATCAATGAGCATTTGATTCTTTATGTCACCTGCGATAAAATGATAACGTGAAGAACTAATCACCGCATCACTCGCATTAGAAATAACTGAATTGAAAATCAGCTTTTCGTTATTGATAATGGAACTTCCAGGCCAAACATCAGAAATGTAATTAATGAATTTTGAACCAATAAAACCGCAACCACCAGTGATCAATACATTGCCTGGTTTACAATTCACATGTTCCATTTTTCTGAAAATTACTGAATAAATTATTAGAAAAAACCGACTACATATTTAATAAAAGTGTGTTGCGCAGTTGCGTTGAAAGTAAATGACCCATTACTTATCAAATAAATATTCATAAGTCAAACACTAACGCTCTTTTCTCATCACTTTTTGACTGAGGAAACTATTACCAGCAAAGGAACAACTATGCAGAAACTCAACTAAACTGACTGCCACAGTTACTGATAGCAGTTACCGTTGAAGAACGCGTGCAAAGGAAAGAAAGATATTCACACGAATCTCAGTCTTACTTGGACAATTTAGGTGTTGTCATCTACTAATT